GCTACGGGCTGAACGACCGAGGGGTCGGAGTTCGAGTCCCAGTAGGGTTAAGAATTTTCTTTTCTCCACGTCGTCCAGACTGGCTCTGGGGACCACCCAGCCTCTTATCCAGTGGTTACTTGAGGCTCTCTCCGCGGGGTTACAGCGGCCGGGGCGTGAAGCTACCTCTCACCTCCAACTAGTGCCGAGGTCAAGTAATATGGGTCTATAAATCTATTCCCCCATATGCCTTCAAGGAGTCGTGTTTAATTAGTTAAGCACAGGGACAACTTCACCTTCTTATTAACACAGAAAACAAAAGGGACATGTTCCTCCTAAACGTCGGTTGTCTTTTCACCTGACCGCACAGCGTTATATCTACCGTTATGAGAACCTCAAATCCTACATAAATCTCTTAAGCTCCGTCACTTCAAAGGACATCGGCCTCTCCAGTACAAGATGACACAAAAGTCAGTTAACTGATTAGTAACACGTATACAGAATGCGTTAGAAATTTCTATATTATTCATTGAATTTAGAAAAACTATTCGAAGTGAAATCCTCCATGGCCGACGCACAACTCACAACGCTGTGACACTTTTGTACAATGAAGAAAGCAGTCTTCTGGGATTTGGCACCGTGTATATGTGGTGTTAACCGACGTTTCGGAGGAACGTATCGCCTCCATCTGCTCTCCAGACTGTCTGCTTTTACCGGTTCTCACGGTCTCTTTGCTTGCAGATTCTTATATATATATTTATCTTCTACCCTGAAGATGGAGGCGATACGTTCCTCCGAAACGTCGGTTAACACCACATATACACGGTGCCAAATCCCAGAAGACTGCTTTCTTCATTGTACAAAAGTGTCACAGCGTTGTGAGTTGTGCGTCGGCCATGGAGGATTTCACTTCGAATAGTTTTTCTAAATTCAATGAATAATATAGAAATTTCTAACGCATTCTGTATACGTGTTACTAATCAGTTAACTGACTTTTGTGTCATCTTGTACTGGAGAGGCCGATGTCCTTTGAAGTGACGGAGCTTAAGAGATTTATGTAGGATTTGAGGTTC